TTCGAACGACATGACCAAGCCAGCGGAGCCGCTGTATTTTAATTCGCTGCACTATGTCCATATCGTTGTAAAGCTCATACAGCTCATCGTTCCATCGTCTGCGGTACTCGCCGTCGCCAACGCGTAAAGGCCCGTAAATCTTCCGCAAAATCTTTCTCTCAAACACTCCAAGAGCCGCCTCATCGGATGTTGTCATTGTCCATGCTTCTGCGCCATATACCAGCACGGGCATGATGAGTGACTTATAGAGCACGGTTTTCGTACGTCGAGAGAGGACTTTACTCCTGAATTGCCTACTCAGTCCAAAGTAGCACTTGTTGGCAAGAGTGATTCTACGTTGGATTTCAATGCTGACATTATTATCGGTGTTAATGCTGGTTCCCAAGTAAACGAAATTCTCTACTTTCTCGAAATTGTAACTGTCAACAGTGACGTGGGTGCCAAGGCGTGAATGTGCTGACTGTTTGTTTGATGACAGGAGATACTTCGTCTTGTCCTCGTTTACCACCAGACCCATGCGCTTTGCTTCCCTATGCAACATGGAAAAGGCAGAACAGACTTCGCGGTTTTTGTTACCGATGATGTCGATGTCATCGGCATAAGCCAGCAATTGCATGCTCTTGTAGTAAATTGTTCCTGAGCGATTCAGCTCTGCAGCTCTTATTATCTTCTCCAACATCAGATTAAAGAAGTCACATGACAGGGAGTCGCCCTGTCTGAAACCCCGTTTTGTGGCGAACGGCTCGGAGAGGTCTTTTCCAATTCTGACGGAGCTGGTGGTATTGTTCAACGTCATTTTACACAGCCGTATGAGTTTTGAGGGGATGCCAAATTCAGACATAGCGGCGTATAGGCAACTCCTTTTAGTGCTGTCAAAAGCGGCCTTAAAGTCGACAAATAGGTGGTGAGTGTCGATCCTTTTCTCGCGGGTCTTTTCCAAGATTTGGCGTATTGTGAATACCTGGTCTATGGTGGATTTGCCAGGTCTAAAGCCACACTGATAAGGCCCAATCAGTTGATTGACGGTGGGCTTCAGTCTTTCACACAATACGCTCGATAAGACCTTGTAACCTATGCTTAGAAGGCTGATCCCGCGGTAGTTGGCGCGAATGGCGGGGTCACCTTTCTTGTGGATTGGGCAGAGCACACTTAAATTCCAGTCGTCGGGCATGCGTTCATCTGACCATATTCTGCACAAGAGTTGATGCATGCACCTTATCAACTCCTCGCCGCCGTACTTGAATAGCTCAGCTGGCAGGCTGTCAGCTCCAGCGGCTTTGTTGTTTTTCAGCCGCGTTATTGCTATACGTACCTCGTCATAGTCAGGCGGTGGAATGTCGACTCCGTCATCATCGACTGCGGGCTCGGGTTCTTCTTCTCCACAACTTTCCGTGCTGCTACCATTTAGTAGGGCGGAAAAGTCGCCATTATTGTTCTTACAGGAGTGCGCCCCGGTCTTTAAACCTTCCGTAAGTCGCCTAACTCTCTGGTAAAATTTTCGGGCATTCCTCCTGTCGGCCAGCATTTCAAGCTCTTCGCACTCACGTATTTCGGCCTCTCTCTTCTTGTTGAGGCAAATACGTCTCGCTTCCCTCTTCAGATCTCTATAGCGGTCCCACATAGCGCGCGTTGCGCCCGATCGCAGCATGGCCCTGTAGGCGACATCTTTTTTCTCTGCAGCTTCCTGACACTCCTCAT